ACAAGTTGGAATTTGGAACGAAAGAAAATGCCGAGGGAGAGACAGAGATGAGCAACGAGATTATCGCGATGCTCTCGCCAGAAAAGGAGTATGTGCTACTAACCAAGGTAGAGTGATAAGGCGTGCTATGCATTGTGCGTGACTTGCGTCATGACTTTGCTTGAAGCTGCGCGTGTTCGGATTTCATTGGCATTGGAAATCTTAGGGTATGCTGGTAATAAACTTTTTATTGTGGCGACTCAAAATTTAAGGGAATTTTCCGTTTGAGCCTCGCGTTACAGGCGTTTCGAAAAATCTGCAAGGATTTGTGTTCACAGTATAGCTATTGCACAGGTGTGCAGTGCATTATACATTGCACGCATTGCTGACAGCTGGCGCCGATTTCATACTCGATGCCCCGCGCTCAGGCGTATTTGGTGTGCTTGAAGCTGCTTTTATCATCGAATCGTGTGTCTGATTCAAAGGAGGTGCTAAATCGGGTGAACCATGGCGTCCGGCAGGGTCTGAAGGCTCGCGGTAACGTGGAGGACTGGCTGGGCAAGGTAGAGGAGGCCATGTTCACCTCCCTGCGACGGTGCATGAAGCAGGCGCTGGTCGACTACGGCGAGCTGACAAAGGAGGCCTGGGTCACCACCCACCCCTCACAGGTCCGCTCAGCGCTAGTTTGGAGGCTTGGGTCACCGCCCACCCATCACAGGTCCGCTGAGTGCTGGTTTGAAGGCCTGGGTCACCACCCACCACTCACAGGTCCGCGCTGGAGGCCTGGGTCACCGCCCACTCATCACAGGTCCGCTTAGCGCTGGTTGGAGGCCTGCGTCACTACCCACCCCTCACAGGTCCGTTCTGGGGGTCTGAGTCACCACCCGCCCTTCACAGGTCCGTCCAGCGCTGGTTGGAAAGCCTGGGTCATAACTCACCCCTCACAGGTCCGCTCTGGGGGTCTGGGTCACCACCCACCCTTCACATGTCCCCTCAGCGCTGGCATCCCTCAAGACTGATTATGGTAATGTGGCATATACTATATATAAAGCAGTTTTAGTATCACTATTGAAATCGCAACAAGATTCCCCACCTTGACTCGTCAGTCGACTATCAGGCGGTCGATTAAACATAAGTGCTTTTTTAAAGTCTCCATTACCCGGATATGGCTGAAGAGAATGCATGCCACAAACTACAGAATGCATAATTGGCGGCGTTCACGCGTACTTGAACTTACTGCTGTAGCCTGTTTCAAGATCTGAACTTGTAGCGCAGGTGTTGTGAAGTTTTGAGTACGGATATTGAGGTACAAATGGGAATCCAAGTTTGCATAAACCTTGCGTTCTGGGTAAGTCTCTGCACGAATCATGGGGCTCATATTGGGGGACATGTATATACTATGCGGCTCGACGAAACTCGAAATTTGAGAAATCTTCAAGACAAACGCCGAAATTTACGCACAGCACGGCTTTGCTCTCTCGATCCCATCATCTTTAACAAGCGTCCGGGTTGTCAATTAAATGCTTTGCACTCGGATACGAGGCAATTTACCCCCGCCCCCCCAAAGTCACCAGAAGCTAAGAGCTTGAGACACCAAACTACCGGGGGTAGAGAGGGTTCTATGTGAACTAACGTGTGTCGAATTTTTACGTAAATAGGTGGTAGCATCCGGGCCAAATAAAGTCAAATAATATCACCAGGTCAAATATCTAGGTCAAACGTCCGCAGTGTCCTCAGATTCCCTAGCGCATCCGGCTCAATCTAGATATCACTCATAAGTAAAATGTCACTGGTTCCTCCGGTCAAAGGCATTTGACCTTCAGCAGATAAACATTACCAAAAACCTTCGGGGTTGTTTTGATATTTGAATGTACAATCGGCGCCAGGTACTGCCTTATGCGGCGTGCTCCTGAAAGCAAAAGGTTACCGAGGCCATTTCAAGTCAGTGCCCTCCCTGGTCCTCATGAAGTCAAAATAAGAAATCTTTTGACATCGCCGTGATCCAGGAGATCAAAAATGAGCGTCAAAAGCTATCTCAAACAGCAAGTTTGAAGCCAATCAGAAGCGGTTTGGTTTTGACCTTGATCTGGTCCCCATAGCTGACCTGCGTTCCCCGGAAAAAGTATGAAATCCTTATTTCAATGGTCGGATTGTCTTAAAAAGCATTCCAAAGTTGTACGACTTCGTCAGACGTCATTCGTTTGACGCCCTCGTCTGACGTCCTCTTCGTCCTTGTCGCATCGTTTTGAACGACGCCTCAAGAATTGTCTTCGCTGACGACGGTGGCGTGACTTTGACCTGCCAGGTCTGCAACCTTATAATACATCTATTTTGATAACAAAAACATCTGCTATTGAACTGCCTGCCACTGTACAACGTGCAGCGTTCGGAAGTTGTTTGAAATCACCTTCGCGGGCCAAGTAACGTCCACCCGAGCGCGTGTTAACACACCAGTGGGACGTCATATGTGGCGTGAAGCGAGTGAGGTAATAGCGGAATTGTGAGAGTTCTTGGCTTTTGTTATGAAGGTGATGCAAAAATGGGTTAATGGAGCCAGGTACCATCGGCAACCGATATCAATAGCCTTGATCAATGCGTTGGAAAGCTGTGTCTTTCGTGACAAATGCAACGACGGAGGTCTACGTACATACTCGCTACCTGCGCACCTGCCATACCCGCGCATCCCACATGCACATCCGCCATACCTGCGCATCCCCCACACCTGCGCATTCACCATGGCCACTGACATGGCCCTGTGCCCGAGGCCCCGACAGCAGTACCGGCTCCGGGGCAGCACGCCCCTCCCTGACGCCCCTCCTGGCCCCGACAGCAGTACCGGCTCCGGGGGCAGCACGCCCCTCCCTGACGCCCCTCCTGGCCCCGACAGCAGTACCGGCTCCGGGGGCAGCACGCCCCTCCCTGACGCCCCTCCTGGCCCCGACAGCAGTACCGGCTCCGGGGGCAGCACGGCCCCTCCTGGCCCCACTGGCTTGGCCCTGTCCCGCGGCCCCGGAGCCAGTACCGGCTCCGGCCGGAGCACCCCGCCCTGGCACCCGTGCTGGATCTGGTGCCGCTGTGCTGCAGGTGGTGCTGACTGTCTCCCAGATCGTCTGGTGCAGGGACGTCCACGCCGTGCTGGACGGCGAACACGACAGGCGAGCCGCTATGAAGGCGTTCGAAAGCGAAATGTTTCAGGTAAGCACTATCTCAGAAATGGCTCTACTTAAGCTCCTGTGTACCAGTTTGAACCAGTTGCTGTTTGGTTTGCTCTGCCCGTCGTGTGTTTGTCATTGTCTGCTTATTCAAGTGTTTGGCGTGGACAGGAATCTTTTTGCTTCAAGCTGTACGACACAAAAGACGTTTACATTGTATGCCCTAGGCATGAAACGTATCTGGAAAATGCCATGCAGTGTACGGATGGCGAAATTCCGCCATACCGTCTCCGCCCGGCATGCCGTCACCCTGTCTGATGCTTTGTCCTTGGAAGGATGTATGTCAGGATTAAAGTCAACATGTCTTCCATCCTATCTACTGACTTCTGTCAATCACGCATTACACTGAATTTGTCGTCTTAGATGCAGCGATTGTTTTTGTTTCAGCGTGGGAACCGTTTTCAAAATCCAGCCGCTTGACACGGCTTGTCACTGTTTGTCAAGACGAGTAGACAAGCTAAACACAGCGTTTTGTGAGACCCATCATGGATGCGTCTAAACTGCATCGTTTAGCCAGGAGACTTACCCAACAAAGCGACAACCCAACATTACATCGATGGGGGAATTGACGCGCTGAAAGTACCGGGAAGAAAGCTTAGCTTCATGACTCCTTCGCGCCTGCTTTCGTCACCAGGCAGGACCAGATACCCCCTTTCCTTCTCGGTCTCGTAATCCCTGACCTCGGTCCCTGTGGCGTGCGCCGTGCCGCAGAACTTGAATCAGCTGGCGGCCATGGTACGTGGCGAGCTGAAGGACCTCGAACGGAACGTGCTGTGCGCGCTCATCACCATCAGCGTGCATTCGCGAGA